GGACAAGCCAGGACTCTTCGAGCCGCAATCGAGTCGAACTATGGTGAGAAACTTCCTGACGATTCACCGGTTTTGACCTGGTTAGTTGAACACGCATCCACAGTCTACAATCTGTTTTTCCGATCCACCGAACTTCAAGACGGAAAGACTCCGTATTCACGACTTCGTGGACGTGAATGGAAAGTAGCAATTCCACCATTTGGTGAGGCCATCGAATACCTCAAGAGAGGTCACAAGTTCGAGGCCCAATGGACCAAAGGAATTTTTCTAGGAGTGAAAGACACCACCACAGAGAAGATAGTAGGAAATTCCACAGGCGTTTTCACAGTGCAATCCATTCGAAGAAAGCCAGAAGAAGATCGATATGATTCAGAGTTGCTGAAATCGATCACTGGGATTCCCTGGGATCCTCAAGCAATACGCGAAGAACCAGCGATTGCAGCCCCAAGGGAACCAATCTTTGCCAGTCCAAGTGGTGAAGCTTTAGTTCAACCACCGGCAATCGATGACAAGAAAAGAAAGCTGAGAAGACTTTACATTACCAAGAAAGACCTGGAAAAGTTTGGGTACACTGCAGGTTGCCCAGCTTGTGATGCCACACAGATTGGTAAGAGATCTACAGGCATCCATCACACCAACAGGTGTCGAGACAGACTTGAAGAGTGCATCAGAGGAGAAGAAGAAGAGAACCCAAGAGTGGCAAGACATGAAAGCCGAGTTGGAGAGGCAATCACTGGCATGCCACAACCAGTCAGTGGTAAGAGACCTCAAATCCTTCATGGATATGAAAGCAAAAGACCATCGGGAGTTCCCGATTCATGTCGAGTGTTCGCACGACTTGACGTCGAAGCTTATTGTTTCCAAACCACTATGCCAGGAGGACCTGATTGGTCTACCGTCTGGCACCGAGTCACAAGAAACCATGCAAACAACGCAATCATTGAGAGTGGAGTCATGACGACAGACCTTCCACCAGAGATACTCAATGGAGCATTACCGCACAAGATGGACATTGTGACAGAATTGTGGTACGAACCAGAAGCAGCGCCACCAACACCAGGCACAGCATCAGCTTCAGCATCAGGTATTCGCAGACCACGCGAACCTGAACCACATGGAGAAAAGAGAGAGCATGAAGAGCAACATGAACCAGCAGGATCACCCACAGCAAAAGCCAGAGTAGATAGAGACAAGAAGAGAAAAGCAGAAGGCGAGCATGAAGATGAAGCCGAGAGAACAAGAGACATCCAGAGCATTGAGATGGCTCTAGAAAGCCTAATCCTAGAAGACAGAGAGAGAGTACTATCTAGCATCGACCCAGAGAAACCAGTGTGTGAAGAGAAGATCCTACTGCCAGAAGAAATGGCAGAAGAGGCAAAAGACTGGTGGTACTATGATGACATCAGTGGAAAAGAGCTTCTACCTGAGAAGGTAGAGAAAGCCAGAAAAGATGAGATCGACATTGTCGAATCAATGGGAGTTTGGGAGAAGATCCCAAGAAGCAAAGTTCCAAAAGGAACCAAAATCATTGGAACTCGATGGGTAGATGTGAACAAGCAAGATGAAATCAATCCTCTCTACAGAAGTCGATTGGTAGCGCAAGAGATCAAAAGAGGCTCAGGTTTTGACGAATTTTTCGCAGCCATGCCGAGCCTTGCAGCTTTGAAGCTACTGCTAACCATCGCAGTCAGCGACAGCCTTCCATTGGAGAAAGGCGAAAGAAGAAAAGCAAAACAATCATTCCTAGGATTTTTGGATGTGAAGAGAGCTCATTTCTACTCCAAAGCAACAAGAGAACTCTATGTTGATCAGAAGGCAAGAGACCTGAAGATGGAGATGTAGTAGGCAAGTTGGTCAGAAGCCTTTACGGCACCAGAGACGCACCCATGAATTGGGAGCTGACCATTGCAGAGTTCATGAAGAAGCTAGGATTTGTTCAAGGCAAGTCCAATCCATGCATTTACTACCATGCATCCAGAGAACTTCGAACAGAAGTGCATGGAGATGATTTCACGACCGTTGGAAGTTTTGATGACATCAAATGGTTTCACACTTCAGCAGCCAAAGAATGGCAAGTTGTGGAACGAGGCATTCTCGGTCCACCAGGTTCACCAAAAGCAAGTCAACAGATCAGAGTGCTGAATCGCATCATCACCTGGTCAAATGAAGGCATTTGGTGGGAACCAGATCCAAGACATGCAGAGTTGATCATCAAGTGGTTAGGCACTGGTCAACCAGGCAAGGTCAAAACACCTTTGGCCAAGCCAAGTCAAGAGGAACTCCAACACGAAGAAGTTCCGCTGAGTGCCGAAGATGCAACAATGTATAGATCTATTGCTATGAGAGCCGCGTATTTGGCACAAGATCGACCTGATCTGCAAACTGCAACGCGCTCGTTGGCACAAGGTCTACAGAATCCAACATCGAGGCACTGGAATACGCTGAAACGATTGGCTCGATATGTCAGGTATCGACCAAGAGTTGCACAGCTGTTTCCAAACCAAAGCACCTGCAACCCCTTCAACATGTGGTCAGACGCCGACCATGCAGGTTGCATAAGGACACGAAAGAGTGTGTCAGGAGGCGTGCTCATGGCCAACAAATGCTGTCTCACTACATACAGCAAGGGCCAAGGAGTTGTCTCCCTGAGCAGTGGCGAATCCGAGTACTACGGACTTGTTTCGGGAGCATGTCAAATGCTTGGAATCGCATCAACAGCAAGAGACTGGGGATTGTTTCCCAGCAAAGAGGTGACAATGGACGCTTCCGCTGGCATCGCCATGGGAAACCGTCGAGGCTTGGGACGAGCTAAACATGTTGACACTCAGTACCATTGGGTACAAGAGCGCACAGCAAAGAAAGAGTTTCGTCTCAAGAAGGAAGGCGCCGACCGAATGCTGGCCGACGTGCTAACGAAAGCTGTCACTGAAGAGAAAATGACTACAGCCATGAAAGGCATGAACTTCCACTACCTGGAAGGTGAACATGAACTGACTTTGAAAGCTTGAACGGCTTGAGCTAGAGTAGGTACTTCTTCAAGATCAAGATGTACTGAAGGGCTACGAGCTAATTGAGTGCTAACCCTGACTCGCTTAACTTCTGGGAGATGTTAAACTCGGGAGGCGTGATCAGATGTAGCACCAGTTACATGTACATGACATAGTTTGTTTAGATGTATGTTTCACTGCAGCCGTTTGTTCAAGTTTGTGGCTTACTTTTGTGTTCATTTCGATACCAGAGCTCACGCGTGTTTGAGCTAAAAGTGTGCCTAAGCTTCAACTACAACCTTTGTGACTGTGACCCTAAGTCACTGAGTTTAAGAGCCTAAATTCTCCGTTCAGGTCAGATAGGTGGATCCGTATTATTGTTTTCACCCTTCTGTTGGATTTTGGTGGTTTCGTTTTTCCACATTTTTGCAACTTGAAGTGTTCAAGCCACGTGGGCGTTTTACCTTCCTTGTCCTTTGATTTTGTGTGGTTCACGCGCTTCTGGGGAGATCGGGTTTGTCTATGATGGATTGTTTGCCAAAATGTCGGATCCATGCAGGTTCAGACCGCTTACTCCCCAACACGCCAAGTCCCACGCGGACCAAAGGCTCCCTCACTCTGAAGGCTAAGAATGCCACGGTATGCCACGGTGTATCGTTGACTGCGCGTCAGCAGGAAGAAACATCGCCATTACCCAACAATGCGCTTCCCTGGACACTTGTTGCGCCCTTCACTGGCACTAGCCCATAGGTCGCGACTTAAACCTTTTCCATACTTCGGGTGGGGGGTGGGGTGTTGTTGGGGTGGAACAAGGCTCGTTCGACTGTGCTGGAGGTTGGCAGATGGGATTGGCAGATTGAAGTTTCTCCGTCAAGGCAATGTTGGATTTGTTGCAATATTCACCTTTTTTCACTCGAGAGACAATGAGCCATGCAAAACCCTCCAAGGCCAAGGTGTTAACCAAAATCAGCGCAACCATAGCGCAAACAATCTCCAGTGGTCAGATGGGTAGGTGCCCTTCAGGTATAACTGGAGCATTCGGGCTATGAAAATGGCAATGCTGCAATGCTATGCTTATGCGTTCCAATTCAAAGTTCACACTCGCCTCGCCAACGCGTCCCTGTCAAGGCTTGCAGGCGCAGCTTCGGTAGACCTCGTCTCATCTCCAACGGACACGGTTGAAGCGATGTTTGCTATCGCCTCTGTGTGTCCGCATCATCGTCCCACCCCTAGCGTCCTTGCGACATCTTGCTAGTAACGCCCATGTTCCGTTCGTAGCGATGGCCAGCTGACACACCAAGTCCCCGCAGAATTGCGCGACGAAGAGATCCCCTGAAGTTTTGAGTTATTCTTGTTACTCGTAGCGTCCTTGTTCCTAGTAAGGCCAGGAGCCCCTAGTAGCGTCCGTGCTCCTAGTAGCGATGCCAGGAGCCCCTAGTAGCTTCTTGTTACTAGCGATGCACTTGTTACTAGTAGCGATTGAATGAGTGTTGGGTTCATGAAACAAAACATCACCCCTTTACACGCCTTATAGTCAACAGGCCTCAGTGAACGGTATTCTTCACAGGACCATCTTTCAGAAAGTCAGAACTAGGACTGTTTCAGGAGCGGCTTCATGTTCTCAAGCCTCCGAAACTCCATTTCCTTTGGTCTGCGACGCGTTAAGCTGCGCCACATACACGACCAGGTTTAGGGCGCGTAGCGACTTCGCCGACTTTGGACGCGAAGCGTGACGCTTTGGCAACACATGGAACCACAAGTTTTGGCGACCAACCATCCTGCTTTGATACGTGCCGCGATAAGGTTTTCATATTGGATTATAAGTTATAAATGCACAGATTTGGGGCACTCCCGGCATAGCTTTTAGGCTGGAGGCCATCGCTAGTAGGTTGGAGGCCATCGCTTTTAGGTTGGAGGTCATCGCTACTAGTGACAAGTGCATCGCTACTAGGGGCTCCAGGCCTTACTAGGAACAAGGACGCTTCTAGTAACAAGAAAAACACCAAACTTCAGGGGATCTCTTCGTCGCGCAATTCTGCGGGGAGTTGGTGTGTCAGCTGGTGCCACAGTGCTGCACTTGGACGCCATAGGTCAGATCATTTAGGTTCATGTGGTTGTTTTTTGTATGTTTTTTCTATGTTTCATTTGTCAGTGTGCTTGAGTTTATGTTTGATTCAGTTGAATCTGAATTAATGTTTCTTGAGGTGGGCAGTGTGTTGAGAACCTTGTGCGTTTTGTCTAGCAGCATACCATGGCAACTGGTCGCCACGCTTTTGATCATGTTGGCTTGGACTTTCCTGTCGACCTTGGTGAACTTCCGTGGCGGGCCATATGCGTACGCGGGCTTTTGCGCGGCTTTCACAGCCATCAAGTTCCTCTCCTCCACGGGTCCAGGGGGTATCCAGCTATCTACAACCATCACATCCTCAATGTGGGCATGTGGGGGCCTGAGGCGTAAAGCAAAACCAAAGGGAATCCAAAGTCAAAACTTCATTTGTTGTTTTCTTTCTTTCTAGTAGTAACAAGAAGCTTCCTTGGGAATCGTTTTACCTGTAGTAACAAGAAGCTCTTGCTCCTAGTAGCGATGCCAGGAGCCCCTAGCAGCGTCCTTCTTTCTATTCCCATGTCTTTTGCAAACAATTTTGATGGCTCAGCAGCCGACTTGCCAAGGCCTTCTTGCAGTGGTTGTGGAAACGTGCCCCAGGGCACGCTTAAAAAGCGATGGCTGGCCTCCAACCTACTAACAAAAGGAACTTCATAGAATTGTCCTCCAACCTACTTGCGATGGCTTCCAACCTACTTTTTCATCTCTGATCTTTGTGAAAAAACATGCTTATCCAGAATTAGTTGAACAGGTGTGTGCTTCCCATTGATGCACGTGACCTGCTGTGAGCGACTGAGTGGACAGGGGAGAGCCAGTAGCGGCCATCAATCACTAATAGCTTCTTGGTACTACTAGTAAGGCACCTGTTACTACTAGCGTGGCACTTGTTACTACTAGTAGCTTGGAGGCCATTGTCAGTAGCTCCTCCAAGGCAAGGGCGAATTGTCGCTGGCTTGGTGGGTGTGTGGGCTGTGTTGCCCGCACTCGTCACAGCAGATGAATCTGTGGTGATGAGCGTGAAGGATCAGTGGAGCGCATGTTTGAGTTCTTGACATGCAAACAACAAAATCGACCTTTCATCGCTCCAAAGCAACTAGGAGCAAAGGACGCTACTAGGGGCTCCTGGCCTTACTACTAGGAACAAGGACGCTACTAAGTTGGAGGCCATTGCTTTGACTGGTCAGACCTTTTGGGAAGAAACGGTCTTAGTGTCTCCGGGCTGGGCTGTTTTCATCGCCACTTCCGTTGAGAAGACCAGGATAATTATGTCCTAACGAGCCTAGCGTGGGAAAAGGTTCTTCCTGGAAGCTCTGACTTGAAGTGAGCTGTTCAAAGTGATTCAAAGTGCATTGGGGCCGAAGTGTTCACGCAGATTCCCAATGTCAAATAGGCACCCGGAATAGAAGGGGCAGGATTGATTTTTCAGTCCGAACTGTAATTTTTCTAGGTTTGATTCAACGCGGTTGAGGGTTTCAGACGGCGAACCTAGTTCCACGTGCTTCAGGAGGATTATGGGCGTTGCAAGACGGGCGTGTCCAGCTGGCCAGATCTTACCGAGCGGCTGAAGAAGGCCGGTGCCTATGACAAGTATCTCGAGTGGCGGGAAGGCACGGCGGAGAGACACACAACGCAATGGCCTCCACCGTACTAGCGATGGTCTCCTACCTACATGAAGCATGAAGCAGGTTCGTATTATCTATATATATAGAAAACAAGTTCATCCTGTTCATTTTTGTGGGAGATGTGAGTGCTTATATTCTAAACCAGTTGCACATGTTTGGGCGCTCTTGTCTGCCGCATCTATTTCCGTTTTGGTTTTCGTGAACTATGGCCCTGAGAGAGACTTTAGGCTACATGCGCTGGCGCATGGGAGAAAGCAGTGGAGCAAAGGGTGAAATTGCTGTTCTTGCAGCCAAGAGTGTACCCGCACCAAAAGCTTCCGCTTCTGGCGCTTCTGGTCCGGCACCTCGCGCCGAAGCCAAGCGCTGTAGTCCAGACCTCAAAGCTCTTCTCGCGATTGAAAGACGGACAGACGATGCACACGGTCTTGACAGCTACTCTCACGCTAATATCTTGCGCAAGCCTTTTCTTAGAAAGTCTCATCACAAGCCTTTTCATGGATATCTTTGGCCAAGACTCAGAGATGAACTCCTTTCAGCCCCGGGATCCAGCACCTCACTTCGCCTCGAAGCATTTGGAGGTGAAGGGGCACGACGCAATCATTGAAACCCCAGAAATTGTTCGCATGTATTTAAGATTTTAGAAATTGTTGGAATAGACTAAGTCCTTCTTAGAATCACTCGAAACCCTGCTTTGAAGTCCAGGAGAATACTCCAAAAGAAGGCATCCAGCTGGCTGTCGCAATGCCCGAAGCGGTCATCGAAGCAATACCTGAAGTGACAGCAGTCATTGAAAATGTGGCGTTGCCCATGCAGATGCAGAGCTTGAAAGTACTCCTTGAAGAGAGTCACTTTGTGCAAAAGCAAAAAGCAATGCAGAACAGCAGGCAATCGCATATTTTCTTGTGATTCTTTCTTGCTCATTAAATGGTTTGGCAAGAATCTCTATTGATGTCTATTGTATTGTTGTTTTTTTGTGGTTGTTCTTGAGTTGACAGGGATGCAGTCTGTCAGATATACCTGAAGACTTCTCTGTTGTTTTTGAATTTAGGGGCGGGCGTTCAATTGATTTCAACAATGCACTCCTGGCTTCACGTTTGACAACAGCATGCGAACCAGCTCAGTTGAATCGCCACAGCCCAAAAGGGCAGACCAGATGAGACAGATGTGGCGATATCCAAATCCAATTTTGCAGTTCCCGAACCTCGTGAGTATTGGGTCGAACTTTTGTTGGTGGCGCAGAGCCTGTGTTTTGGCGCTGCGTGCCCGGATCCTCCCAGCCAAACGGTCTTACCGTATTTTCACGAAAAGCTCATGATGTTTCCTGGTTGTATTGGAAAATCCATGGGCTACAAAGAGTGTCGGAAGAGGTTGCTCTTGCACGAAAGCACAAGCCTGGCAGGAGATCGGAGGAGACCAGTTTCATTGCGCTGGTGACCCTCAAGGGTTGGGCTTGGGACACCTGTGAGGATATCTCCATGTCAGAGCATGGACGGGGGAAACACGTTGGCTGGCACTTCATGAGAAGAGCTGGCCTGACGACCATGGGTGCCATCGCAGTGAAACCTTGTCGTTGGAAACAATTCGCAGGGTGATGAACTTTGTCGCTACGCTGTCGCTAGGCAGGACAGCGTCCATGCAGGTTCGGAAAAGGAGTCGGTTTACAATGAAGAAGATGAAGTGGTGTATGAGCCCGCCGAGGAATGTGTAAAGGGCTAGATAGAGGTTATAGATGTTCGCAATGCAGTCGCGTATGACGAACTAGAAGATGATATGAATGTTGCGAGTTGTGAATGATGACCTTACAGCCGGTATGGTGAAATCTTGGCTGGATTTACAGAAGCAAGGCAGTGACTACACGCAATGAGGATGACGAGTCGAGGTCACTATACGTGTCGCGATGGCTCCATTCGAACAAGCGTCGCAAGGTGGCAAGGGCGGCTACACAAGGAGGTTCGAAGCCGGCTGACTGGCCTACGGGCCAGCCTGTCACGGAGATTAGGGCGATGGGTCCGTGATGTCAGAGGTGCTGTGCGTCGGTCACGGGTGACCGTCGTCGTCGTCGACGGGCGTTGACGCCGAGAAACGCCGCAGTCTTCATCTCATCGCGGCAAGAGGCAGACGAATCGTGACTACATGGGCCGTGACTCCGCCGGCAGTTTCTTCACACATATCGCCTGGCCATGTGAGCAAATTCTGCGCGACAGGCCTTCGCTTTGGCAATGGAACGAAGAAGATCACTTCAGTTGCCTTCTGGTATTCTGGAGCTAACTTCATGTGATCCCCCGAGAGGTGCCACTCTTTTGCTGACCGGTCCTGGAAAGCCTTGGCAACGCCGTCAACTATTTGGGCAGAAGGGGCCAGGTCGTAGTCAATCGTCGTCCATGTTGACCGTCAATGGCTGCGCGCCGACGAGGAGGAAACTGCAAGTTTCACTGCTGTTGTTTCATTTGGGCGCGCGACGCCCATCCCCTTGCTGCCAGAAGAATGGAACCACTCCTGATGAAGCAGCTCGCAGTCGATTCGAGACGATGATGCGGCGGTCATACATTCATCCAGGCCAGGCCCATGATGTCAAAACTACATCGCCCAGCTCATCTCCTTCGCCCGCAAGTGTGAAGCGCGCCAGGGACTGCGCGCCAAACGAGAAATTGCCTCGCAACTGTTTCATGACACTCAAATTGTCGAGGATTTTGAGCAATATTTGTGCAGACAGAAGGAAGACAGCAAGACCGCCAACCGACGTCAGAACATGAATAATTAGTGAAGTTTCTCTTTGCAGGATGGCTGGGACTTTGAAAAGGGCGCTCGCCAAATGGTTTTTCTTCGACGTTTGCGAATGGAAGAGCCTCCGTGGCCCTGCTTTCACCAATGCGCACGGTCCAGTATCACTGCGCGGACTGCCCGTCGCCGGACCGGTTTACATCGGGCCACGTCGACCGTGTCAAGGAACCAACAGTTTGTGCGTAGGCGTAGACGCCCATGCAACCAGTGCGGCGTCACAGCTTCAGAAGCTTCCGCGGAAAGTGTGAAGTTTCAAAACGAAATCTTGGCGGTTGAAGCTGACGTTGTTGCGTGATTTGCGCGCGCCTCCAGCTCGCAGGCACTTTTTGCCATGTAATTTTGCGTAGTTTGCCTATTGGCGGACAAGCGTATGCGCTGCGCAACTGCAGTTCCCGAACCTTGTGAATATTAGGTTGAAATTTCATCGGCGCATATATACACAATGTTTTGTTCATATGTATGTTCAACAGGCACTTCCTTGGCCAATTGTCATATCGCTTTGCTTGCGCCTCAACGGCCCAGCCACGTCAACGTGCTTGGCAATACTCACTGATCTTGGAAATTTCTAAATAGATCCTCATCGCCCCCAGCTTTGTTCAGCCTTTCACCGTTTTTCAGTCGCTCCCGTTATGCTGAGTCCAGCTTTGCCTTGCCTTCAGCCTTGTGAACCTGTTGCTGTCTCAAGGTGAGATGGCTTCAACTTTGAGCTTGAAGCGTGTGTCGCTAGCATCGATCCAAGAAGTCTTGGATGAGATACAGGAAGTCTTGGTATCGAAGCAAAGCTGGCAGATTTTCGGTTTCGATGTTGCTGCGTTCACAAACAAAGATGTTCAGTCTTTTTCAACCGTTTCTCTTGCTTTGAAGAATCCCTTACTGTTTTGTGGCTCTTGGTCGACTTCGTTTTTCTGATCTGACACGATATATCTCAGACTTTGGGGCGCCCAAACCCTGTTGGCCAGCGCAAATCCAAGCGCTGACGTCAGCAATGAGGGTTGAGGTGGTTCAGATGGGCCCATCAAGGGGGCCACTGAGGCACCTACGGAAGAGCTGGCTTTGCAGGCAGCTGAAAGACTAGACGGCTTGAAATTGGACGGCAACGCATGGTGTTCCCTAGCAGATCGCTTGCGCAGCTTGACCTATACACTAGTTGTTTTTCCTGGGAGCGTTGCGAAGGTTCTTCTGTAGAAATCTTTTGCGTAAGACATCTGAATCAATATCTTTCTGGCTTGTTCATAGCTGCATTGGGACGTATGCTATAAGTATGCTATACGGCTACATCTGCAGCTTGCGCGCGTGCTGTAAGTACATCTGCAGCTTGCGCGCGTGGTCTTAGATTTGCTGCTAGGGAGGCGCAAATAGATTTGTTTGCAAATATACATTTGCAGATTACGCAGATGCAGTTGTATGTATGCTACAATGGGTACGCTAGAAGTACATCTGCGGCTTGCAGGTACGGTTGTGTAGAGCTGTTGGCTCAGACGTGTGGCGAAATGCGAATTACGGCTGCGCCACGGCGACCCTCTGCGGAGATGGCGCGTGTCGAGCGCTCAAACGGGCAGTGAACTGCAAATTTTTGTAACTGTTGTCGAAAGTGGCGGTGGCAGATGCCAAAGTGTGGAACTGTCATTGCAAATAGGCGCCGGAAGCTGGAAGGTACGTTGATAAATAGTCAGTGTGCCACTGTCGTCGCGTATATCACTTATTTGCAAATACATGATAACTCATGTGTAACCAGAAAAAATATACTTATATAATATCAAAAACGCCACAAAAACAAGCTAGACGACGGGTGGCCCGGGAGCGTGGGAGGGAAGGTTACGTAGGAGAGGGTGGACTAGTGAGAGATGTATATAAGTACACAAAGAGTGAGTTTTATAGTTAAATTTAATTTGCGCGTGCGCTGCAAGATCGGTTCGCACGTTTCCAAAGTTGTTGCTACGGATATAGTAAGATGAGACTCGTGGACACCGCCAATCATCCCGCTCCCCAACGACACGCCGAATGGACGCGCAAAACCGCATGGCGCAGCGCCGTCGCAGACGGAATTTGGCCACGCGGTGTGCAACAGGCTAGATACAACAATGTAACATTCATCACGGTGGGCGCCGCCGAGTCGCCAGTTCTCAAGCCACGCTGCTTCCCGCGCGCTACATTTTACTTGTACTACCAAGTGACCAGTACAAGCTGCTTCCCGCACCACATTTGCACTACCAAGTGGTCAGTTCTGATGCCGCAGTTCCCAGAAGCTGCTTCCCGCACTACCTGTACTGCTTTCATTTTTCTACCAAGGTCCCATTTCGACGACTAACACACTTTAAAAACCTCCACCTCCGTTTTGGGCAACAGTTACATACCTCCACTTCCGTTTCCGACGAAGGTCGCACACTTAGCAGCCTCCACCTCCATCTGCATTTTCTACATTCCGTAGGGTCTGGGCCCCGTAGGTATTCCAGGACACCTCACATTTGTGCTCACCCAAACTCCATTCTAAATGTGGATCGTGCCTTAGTTTTTTTTCATCCTTTCTGTTGCTTTGGTGACCACCTGCTGGGCGGGGAGTTCCCCATATTTTTCGGCCACTGGCGATGCGAATGGTGCGGCTCCTTGGCCGGGCATGGGTTTTGTGTGGCTTTCCCGGACAAGTCAACTTTTCAAGGTGTGAGTTGTTTTGCTCAGCACAAAAACGCAATGCTTTGGACATGGTGTGCTCAGATTTCGTGGCAGACGCAGTGGTCCGTGAAGTTTGGTCTTGTGGCCTTTGGGAGAAGTATACCGCGCGAAAGGCAGTGGGAGGGCTGCGCCTGGTGAACATCCAATGCCAAGTGCAGATTTAGTAAGGCGGTGCTCCTTGAAGTGCAGATTTCGTTGTAGCCGCAGCGCTTAGGAATCCGAGTTTTGCGGCAGGCGCAGCGCCTTGTGAATTTAGCTCTCATATTGTGCGCGCCTGCCACGCGCTATTGCTAAGATGCAAATCTCGTCGCGAAAGCTGTCGCACGACTGCGATATACGTTGTAACGAGAAAAGACGCATTTGTGAATTCTTGTGAGCTGCTAGTAGCTAAAGGGCCTCCAACCGACTAGCTGGAAAAAAACACGCCCGGCGTTTGTGAGGCATTATGCGATTGTGGTTGACAATGCTGGGTCGCATCACCAAACGCTTGGGCCACGGCTGCTCCTTGACCGATCTCATCGGCCGTGGCCGTGTGGGCGAGGCCTCCTCGGCTGCAGAGGATCTACTCCTTGCAGTGGGCGAAACGCTGACAGCCACAGCTAGGCGCACAGAGGGCGAGGAGCCCGTGAGGATGGCGGGCGTAGCCACGTCACGTGACTACACCAAACACATTCGTAGACAGTGAGTGGGTTTTCAAGGAAGATGCTGGAGGAAACCTGGTAGCCTGGCTAGAAGAAACATCAGAATAGGTTCTACGCGTCATGCATGGACCTGTAGGTTGCTGTTTTGTCTTATTTTCCACATATTTTAGACCATTTGTTTGTTTGAAGTCATTGAAGGGACCTCCAAAGAAGGAACATGTCAAATTATTCTCCCGTGTCCTTCAAAGAGACCGGCCGAGATTGAGTTGTCTCTCGAGACAGGTGCGTGGCTGGAGCAGTGCCTTTGCCACGTGAATGCACAAAACTGGAGGCCTGATTTTCAAATTTTTGCGTTTTTGCGACTCTCTCTCTCTCTCTCTCTTTCTCTCTCTCTTTCTCTTTCTCCGTTTCTCCCCCGCTCACTCGCACTCCGAGCCGGTTGGCGGCCGAACTGCCTTGCGTTTCCTTGAGGCGCGGGGTCGCCGGTTGGCTGAGGTCGCCAGTTGTGCCATGCCAGGAGCTATTATATAGTAGCGTCCTTGCTCCTAGTAGCGATGAGTGACTTGTTCGCCAAAGGTTCGCCAAAAATTCTTTCCAAAAATCACCAGCGGTGGATCTTTTGCACGACCGGGTGAAAGGTCTCGCCTAGTAACAAGTGCCTTACTACTAGGAACAAGGACGCTACTAGGAACAGGTG